GAAGGCAGGCAACCCGCCTCACTGCCCACCCACCATTCCAGCCCTGCCTGTGGTCCTGGAGCCTGCCCAGTCGCCTGGCCTCGGGGCCATAGCACCCACCTACGCCTCTAACTGGAGTGCCCTTTCTCTTGATGGACAGGTAGCTTGCTCTCTCATGCAGGTCTCTGCTCTGGTGTCACCTTCTCAGGGTGGCCTTTTCTAACAGCATCTTTCAAAGTAAGCTTCTGTGCCGTGACCCCATTAGCCTGCTTTATTTTTTCTTGCTTAACAGTTACTTTACATACGTACTATGTGTGTGTGTGTATTTCTCCCCCAGCCTGCAGTATCCCTCAGGGCCTTAGTAATGGGCACCTGGCAAGGGTGTGGTATGAATGAAGAAGCGAACACGTGGTGTCGAGGGGCCTAGGTACATGGCTGGCCAGACAGAAACGTGACATCGTGCTGAGTGAACGACGAGAGTAAACCTTTGAAGATGTCTCTTAGTAACCGGTGTGGAAACAAACAGCCCTGTCTGAGAACATTACGGTCCATGTCCAGTGGGGGCGTAGTAGGGAGAGTTTGGGGAAAACACTTAGCCTGTCTGAGTCCAGCCCAGAATCAGGCCTGTGATTCACAGGTCAGGACTGTGCTGATTGCCCTGTGTTCCAGGGGCCTCCCCTCTACCCGTCCTTTCCTCCTTTTCAACATAGGCATTTCAGGAATCACGAGCAGCCTCTTTGAAAATTATTATTTTCCACGTATGTTCTTTTAGAGAATGTTTTGCTAGCTATTTCCTATGTTCCTAAGTTTGGTTATGAAAAGTTCTGTGAACCTCAGAGAAGAATTCTCAAGCTGAGAAGAAGTGCTGAGAACAGATGTGCTGTTATTGACAAGATCCCCTCCCACTTGCTTCTGCAGAGAACGCGTTCCGTCTCGGAAGATGCAGGAGTGCTCCTGTGCCTGCCAGCTTCCGAGGGCCTCAATTCCAGATTACTCAGGACAGATGGCTTGTAACAGAATTCTCCGATATCTCAAAATACTGCATTCCACACTCTCTTTGGTCGCCTGGTGCTGGGCCCAGCACTCTTGGACTGAAATTTTCCTTCTGTTCCGTCAAGCTGCTTTTCTGGTGCCGTGATGTTAGCCTGGGTTCTCAGGCTGAGCTCTGTCCCAGGCATGGTTGTCCTTGTAATAACAGGTCATTTATAGCGATTCCTGGGCCTCATTTTTTTTTTCCAAGTCCATGGATGATCTTCCCCCCAGTTCCACCCCACAGGTCTGTTTCCCATCATTTTTAAACATCTCTTTACTCTTGTTTCAGCTTTTCTATATCCTCCTTACATAGAAACCAAAACTGGTTCCGGCCCTCTGAAAGGCCTCCTAGTTAAAAACTAGAATGATTACCTTACTGCTTTTGCCGGGTATTTTCCTGATGTTAGAGCCCAGGATACGGTGACTTGCGTGTTGTTTTCACAGCTTGGTATTGACTGTGTAAATACGGTTTGTTGCAGTGTGCATCAGTCCAGCACCTGCTCACTTGCAGACTGGATTTTGGTTTTGGTTGACCGCGCCCAGCTGCTTCCCCATCGTGAGTGTCTAGTTTGTTCTGGGTCTCCAGGTATGGTCCTTTGTGTTCCTCTCTGTTTGCCAATCCTTTGTTCACAGCAAATGCTTGCTATTTGTGTATTTAATTAGTACGTCCATCTTAGCCTTGTCTTTCTGGTTTAGATAATGTCTCATACCAACAAGTCCTCTCTCTCCCGAGATGGTATCAGCTCCCCCATCCTCCACTGCTGTCCCCCAGGGATGTTAGGACTTGAGGCGGACACTGTGGGTTGTCATGACGACTGGGGGCTCACTGATGGCATTTAGTGGACAGGCGCCAGGGACGGAATGCCAGCGGTGTCCCAGCTGGGAAGCACGGGCAGCCGCAGATGGTTGGCACTGTTCATTATGGAGTTGGACCTCTGGCAAGCATACTGTAGGAAACAGTAAGGGCTTACTCTGCATACCAGCCACCGCTCTTGAGGACCTGTGTGTATTGAATCGTGTGATCTTCTGAACAACCTAAGAGGCAGTTTCTTTACTGTTTACCCCCATTTTACAGATAGGAGGTTAAATAATTTGTCCAAAGTCACATTTCTAGTAAGTGGAAAAAATATTTCAAAGCCACATTGTCTGTTAGGGAGCTCAGCATTGAACCACTCAGTCACCTGCCAGCCTGTTCTGCCTCACACCTGCTCTCAGCCCCTTTGTGCTTAATACCTGATTATTCTACGTTTAACGTGACCATTAATAAACTGTGTACTCCTCTGTAATAGCAGGATCTAGATTTAAAGTGTCTTCGAAGAATCTGTCCGCAGTGGGCAGCTTGTCCATCAGTAATTCAGTCCAGTAGTCATGGTGTTCATGACTTTGTATGTCCGTGAGCTGTGTCTTTATTCACTTTTTATTGGGGTTCAGAGGACCCTGTGCCCTCCATATATACTCATGCGACAGGGACGCATTCTGAGAAACGCGTCGTTAGGTGCTTTTGTCGTTGTGTGATCACAGAGTGCACTTACACACACCTAGCTGATATAGCCTACTACATGCCTAGGCTCTCTGGGACTAATCTTATGAGACCGCCGTCATTTACGTGGTCAGTCGTCAACCAGAACGTCATTACGCAGTGCATGGCTGTGCATGGCCTACTGTCCATCACGGATGAAGTTAAATTGTGTTAGAGTGATTTCAATTCCATAAAAACATGACTATTGTTTTCCAAAACTTGCATTTGCCAGATGATTTTCAATAGATGATGAAAAAATTAGATACCATTAAGTTATTTTTTAACTGCAGGACTTCTCATAGCCTGTGATAGATGCAGCATTTCTTATTTAAGGGTTGGGTTCTTCTTAAGAGGAATTCTGTTGAGGAAATGCAACGCTAACCAATTCTCTTCTAGATGTTCTAGAATTTCTGTCCCCTCAAGAGGTTCAGTCTGGAGGAGAAAAATGGCTCAAGACCAGAGTGGCCTTCAGAGTACAATTTGTCTAAAAGATGTTTAATTTTTGAATATCAGAAGTGATCTAGTGCTGTGGTTGTGTAACTATGGAGGGACAGAGGTGACATACCTAATTGTTGGCACTTGGATGTGTGGGTGCTGGTGGCTTCCTGGTTTCCAGCCATGGGTTGAGGGAGTCGTACCCTCCTCTGTTCTGCCCTGGGGCTGGACAGATGTCAGGACAGAACCCTACTACCTCCTGCTCTCAGAGTATCTTTGATGGCCTTACCATCTCTGTCTCACAACTGGCTGGATTGGCTCAGTTGTGACTACTGCAACCCTTTGGGTAATTTCCTGGATAAAGTAGTTTATCCTAAATTAGCCAAAGAATGCGAACACTTCAGTGTTGCAAGCCAAGGAAGAGGAGTAGCATTAAATGATTAACAGCTTAGTTAATAAAACCGATTTTACCATTGCTCTTGGGACGTAAAATACTTGTGGTTATTTCTATGAGAGTAATGACCAGGAAAGTTGAAAATATATGCCTCCCAACTTTAATGTAGGGAATGTCATCAGTATACAGATGCAAAATGCTGCGCTCCCCTCTAACTGTAATTCTTAAACTGGGGGGAAATGTAGGGAGCTATAAAATCCTAGAGCCAGCCCTGGTGGTCTAGCGGTTAAGATCTAGCGCTCTCACTGCCATGGCCCGCTTTTGTTTCCCATCAGGGAACCACACCATCCATCTGTCGGTTGTCCTGCTGTGGTGGCTGTGTGTCGCTCTTGCTGAAAGCTATGCCACCGGGATTTCAGACACCAGCAGGGTCACCCATGGTGGACAGGTTTCAGCGGAGCTTCCAGACTCAGACAGACTAGGAAGAAAGACCTGGCCGCCCACTTCCAAAAAAATTGGCCATGAAAACCCTGTGAATAGCAGCAGAGCATTGTCTGAAATAGTGCTGGAAGGTGAGAGGATGGCCCAAAAAGACCGTGCAGGGTTCCGCTCTGCTGTACTCAGGGGCGCTAGGAGTTGGAATCCACTTCACAGCACAAACAACAAATAAAATCTTAGAAGGCAGAGATAGATCTATAGCTACTAATATGAGACCGTTTCTAAGACGTTTTATTAAGATACACACTTCTCAATATCACAGTGTTTTTTCTAAGTTTCTTTTTCCTGTGACCTCTCACAGTAAGAATATATTTTATATCACAGCTGAGTACATCATACTTATAAATATGTTCACTAAAGATTTATGAAACAATATTTATTCGTTCTCACTAAGGGTAGGGCGCTCTGATCAGGATCAGTTTGTTATTATTTGTAATGCTAAGTTCACTCGATCATCTCCTAATGGACTGTAGTCCACAACTGTAAAAAACACCCATTAGGCATGACCTCTTTTGTGCCCAAAAAGAAAAATCTCTAGAAGTGGACCCAAGAAATGTCACCATCAGGTTCCTTCTGACTGAGGCCCTTAGGGAGTGTGGTTGGAGGGAAGTGATCAGATTTTTTTACCGCTTCTTTTTATTGTTAATATGTGAATTTTTTACTGTGGACGTTAAGTATTTAAAAACAATAATTAATAAAAGTAACAGGCAGAGGAAACCAACTTTCTCTGTGGCATTCCTCTCTCCGAGGAGGTTGTCTGTCTCTGTTGTCTTACCTCAAGCTCTGGTTCTTCCCAGAGGGGCCCCTCCCCGCTCTGCCCCTGTCAATCCAGTTCTCTTCTCCCCACTGAAATTTCAGCTTCGACGAAGGAGTTTTTATGGAGCTGAGAAAAGAAGTTCAGAAAACTGGCGCTTCATTTATAAAGTGAATTCACGGGTTTGTGTCTTTCCTTTTGATTTTCAAATTAGAACTAGCGCGTACGTTACTTCTGTGAGTTAAAAACAAAAATCGTTTGAACATGAGGAACTTAATCTTGTCCATAGCATATTATTTGAAAACAATTCGTTTTTGTTCTTTTGTGAAAAAATACTGTATAAAAAGCATTTTGAGTAGAGACTAATCAGTGTCTTTTTTTCTTAATAGGTTTTAAAATGGAAAATTTTGATGCATCACTGAGTCCCTATTTCAGGGCTTTGCTGGGCCCCCGAGGTAAGGCGTTTTTCGGTTTTGCTCACCTCTTCACCCACCAATTACAGCTACTTGTAAATATTGCATGAAGAGAGTCTAGAAAACATTAGCATTTTCTATGATGAAAGTAACACTTTGTCCTGGATACCATGGGGCTTGGAGAAGTCCTCTGGTGGTCACTGAAGGGGCGATGTCCCCTAGCTGTTGGAGCAGAGCACAGCTGCTGTGTCACTCTGCTGACTTTAGCTGGAGATCAGTCCGTAAATCTGGAGGCTGGGAATGCCGCAGGGTCATCCTTACCCGTGGGATGTTTTCCTCAGTCCTGTGTGTCTCCAGAATGCACTGCGACAGCAGGAGTTGAAAACTCTGCCCCTTTTACATTTTAAGGGCTTTTTAAAGTCCTTTCACGTTTTGTCACATCAACAGGTAAATATATACACCTGAACTCACTTTTTATACTTCTCTTAGTCTTTTATTATCTTTTAGGAAGTAAACCAGCTCCATTTTTGCCTTCTTTTAATGTCATGTATAATGTCTCATCTATAAAGAAGGAGCGTTTTAGGTTCACAGAAAGTTTCATAGAAAAACTACAAGAGGCTTTTAAGGAGATGAAAAGACTCTCAGTTTCACCCATGATTTTTAAAATACAAAAGAAAACAACAAAAGGAACTTCAGCTATTAGTACGGCACAGATGAAATAATATGTTCGATACCGTCTGTGCTAATAGGATGTGGAGAAAGAGTCTAAACTGATGCAGCCTTTCTGGAGGGTGTTGTGTCTCTTGTTGAAATTAAGATGCTCATGCCCTTTGACTCAGCTATTCGATGACTCCAGCTGATCTGGATCAGTTATGCAAAGCTGTGTGTAAGGATGCTCCCTGTAGCCTTGTCACATAGCTGCCTGATTCATCACTAATCATTTTCCTTTGTTTTCCAGATACCAGAGTAAAAGGATGGTTTCTTCTGGACAATTATATACCTACTTTTATCTGCACTGCCATATACCTACTAGTTGTATGGCTGGGACCAAAATACATGAGGACGAGGCAGCCGTTCTCTTGCCGGGGAATTTTAGTGGTGTATAACCTTGGACTCACATTGCTGTCTCTCTTTATGTTCTATGAGGTAGGTCAGGGGTTAGCACAGGCTTCCTCTCACTTAAATGTCCTCAGATCGCTATCCTGAATTGTGTTCCTAAATGAAGAAAGGCGGGTGCTTGGGGTCGGGAGAGAACTGGGAGAAGCGAGTACATTAATGCATTTTGAATGTGTTTTGAAATTGATTTTTCAAAATGCCAGAGTTGTTTGTAGAAATATGCCTTCTACAATATCTAAAAGAGAAGGCTTTACTATTGATGCTTCTGTTATTTACATTTCTTATTATATTCAGAATTAAAATAAATATTTCAGAAATACTCTGATGCAGGTAAAATGCGGAGTGGCAAGTGAACAGTGTGAAAAACAGATCTATGAGCATTTTATTATTAAGCATTTAATAAATGCCTGGTTCTCATTTGGCAGTGGGGGAGGAAGGAAGTGGGTGGTACGTGTGTTGGGGGTATGTTTGTGGTAAGTGAGCCCTCTATCCTGATCCGATAACTGTCAATAGCTTTGAGATTTGACAAGTTATTTTTTAAAAGCTAAGAAGAGTGGATAGAGAGATGCACGTTTAGGGTTTGAATGGTCTGTGTAAGTTCAGGCCAGATTATCTCGTCTGTGTAACTGGGATGTTGAGAACCAAATGTGATGATCTCAAGGGCAAACGTTGTAGCTTGCCTAAGAACGAAAGACAGTTGGAATCTACGCTTCTGTCCTGCCTGTTTTGCGCGGTACAGTGATAGAGCCTGTAAAGCTGAAGCAGGAGGAAAGCTGCCTCCGGTGGTAAGCTCCATCTGTGTACGTTTTTAGGGGAAGGATTGCACCTCTCAGGCTTATGACGCAGAACTGTTGCTAACTCTCTGGGGTGGAGAACTAAGCCATACGTAAAGTGAACACTTTCAAATACTCCTATTTAGATGTTTAACCTTTTATTGTGGCTTTAATTCTCCGAGGAGTAGTAAAGATGATAAGGGGAGGAGGGGAAGGCGAGAAATCAACATCAGTCTTCCAATTAGTGTTTAAAGAATGAGTTCTCCATCAGCCTCAGGCTGTCTCCTGTCTGCATGTGGTTGTGTGCGGGCATGCACGGGGGTATGTAAGCGAGTGGAAGACACCCTGTGTGTCTGCCCGAGAGCTGCGTCTTATTGTCTTATTCTCCCATATGTGTTTCATAAGCCCAGGTAGAGATTGTATGATTAGAATGATAGATACTGCTACTATCACTCTTTGATGCTTGACATCCTGTGAAATGCTTACAACTCCTTTTTTGCTTTTTTCTGTCCTGTTCTAGATTGAAGGCAGTTTAAATTAGCCTCCAGCATGGATATGGCAGGACTGGAGGCAGGGGCGGTACACAGGAGTGACTCCTGGGCCCGGCACTGTGCACGTCTCTCTGTGTTCAAGGGACGGAACCGCAGCCAGCTGTCAGGTTTTCAGAGCGAACTGTTTCCTTTCCCATAATTGATAGATGATAGAGTCATTTGCCTAAGAAGGCTTTTATAGAAGTTATGATTAAGCATAGCAATAGTCTAAAGAAAAAAATATTTAAGATTGTTAAATCTTATAGAACTTAAGATTCTGCCTTATATGTTTCTCAAGCCCTGGAGATCCAGCTGTAACTTCATAATTTAGCCTCTGTAAAGAAGAGAAGGAAATTGCTGTATAAATTGCTGCTATGTGCACAGGAGCGAATTTGGGGGTTCCAAACACATCGTAATAGATAGTTCAGATTTTCCTCTGACAGCTTGGTGAGAACAATAGAAGATGTTGAGCCGTGTCTGAGCACTGAGTACGGAGACTTAAGAAATACACAGAAGAGGAAACGACATTTCTGCTTCACAATCATTCCTTGAATTAAATCAGGTTTATAAAAATAGACGCACATCAGATAACCCTGAGTTGAAAATGAGCCCTAGGACTCCAAGTTAGATGATATTTACATTTGATTTTTGTCTTTTTTTCCTGTACTCTCATAAACTTGTCAGTAATACTGTTAAGCATATCCTTTCTCAAGCTTTAAATTTCTTTTTAGCTACCGATTTTTCTTTTTCTTTTATTTTTTTAAAGATTGGCACCTGAGCTAACAACTGTCGCCAATCTTTTTTTTTTTTTTTATTCTTCTCCCCAAAGCCCCCCAGTGCATAGTTGTAGGTTCTCGTTCTGAGTGCCTGTGGTTGTGCTGTGTGAGATGCCACCTCGGCGTGGCCTGGTGAGCAGTACCATGTCTGCACCCAGGATCCAAACCTGCAAAACCCTGGGCTGCCAAAGCGGGGCGCACGAACTTAACCACTCAGCCACGGGGCCGGCCCCTGAGTTTTCTTTTTAAACTTAGTATTTATATTCCATTGAATGGTAAAGCCTAGGAAAGCAGTCACTGAGTTTTCCAACAAAACAAACTGAGGTGACCGTGGAGCCCCATTGGGCCCCTCATTTCACAGAAATGTCCCAAGAGTTGGAGCTGTTTGCCTGTGGTCACACTATTGGCATGGTCATGGTTATTAGTCTTTTTACTCTCCTGCATATCTACATACCTGAGTCTGTAAAGAATTTTAAGAATAAATATGTAGTCATTGATATTTTTGTTTGTTTAATCCTGTGTCATGAATTCACAGCTGCCTTGGCGAGTTGTAGGTTAATAATACAAATAAAATTAACTGTCACTTAAAGGAGACGAGGAGAAATCTTGAAAGAAGGGAGAGAAAGAGGAAATGAAAAGAAAGTCATTGAAACGTAAAAGTTCCTAGAAGAAGGAAAATAAGTAAATGACAGTTTTAAAACTGTGAAACGGAGTTTAAATTATAAAAAAAATGTAGACTTGTTCATGGTTTATGCACTTGGTAGAAAGGAAATGAAAAGACGTGGCGTTACTTGTAATTCTCGTGAACCTAGTGCTTATTTCCAGGAAGAAGACCAAAAAATCCCTGATGAGAAGTGTACTTGAATGGTGGGATGTTTTAGACTGAAAGTACAGGACTCTGCGGCAGGCCTTTTAGCTTTTACTTGTTACATCAGGTGTTGTCTGAGATCACAGTCAATGCTGAAGGCTCAGAAATAAAAGTGAAGTTACAGAAGAGAAACAACTCAGTTTGCATTCGTTACTCAGCTTTGGAAAACTGTGTCCTCAGAGCAAACACAAAAATCTTGTGTGCCTTTCTGCCCCCTGAGATTCAGGGTGTATTTTATTTGAGTAGAAGCCCCATGGTTTTTTCAAACTGTCCACATGTCTTTCCCCTTGTCCCCAGCCCCAGACTGAGAATCCCCACCTACCTGATGCCGCATTGTGGCTTTTCCTCGTCAGGTAGTATGAACCCAGGCTGGGCTCCTCTTTCCCCTGGCCCACCCAGCCAGCTGTCGGAGCCTCTCCCAGCTCCTTTGTGACCAGGTCACACGTGGGGTTCCCACACAGCTAGCTGCTCTGGCCTGATGTGGAACTGTCGTGTCTGCCCTTCCCTCCGCGCCTCTGGCCTCTTGTCCCCCTAAGCAGAGAGGATCTAAGTGCTTGGTTTGCTGGGGTCCAAAGGGGACTGTGTCTGTTGACCCGCCTGAGGGCCGTGCCCTGACCCCGGGCTCATCGGTAGCTGCTGGGAGGCCAGGGCAGTTCTGCATGGCACACACGGCTTTAAGGGAGAGTACTGCTAGCTCTGCCCTCGGAGGGGACGCTGAGCCGTCCTCGCCTGCCATTATGCCCAGCTCTGCCCAGACCCCCTCAACACCAGGTTCTTTGCTCCTCTGGACCTTTCTCTACCCCGTATAAACTCCACCTTCCTTCCAGACCTCAGCCCGCCTGGGTTTGACCATCTGCATCTCATTTTTGAGGACTCTGCTCCAGCGTCAGTCCCTCTGGGAAGTCAGGAGAGCACCGAGGACTCAGCACTGAAGCTCCAGAGCAGAGACTTGTCAGCCCCTTGGCCTGCCCATTGTTCCTGGCTGCCCGGGAATGTGCCCTCCAGCCTTCACCTCCACACACAGGTGGCTGGCTCACAGGATGGCTGTGATTAAAATGCCGCTTCCACACCTCTTTCTTCCCATTGTTAGTATGGCTCCACCAGACGTATCCTGAACAGTAGCATAGAAAAAGCAGCTGCCAGAACCACCGCTGGACTTGAACAAAGGGAAATCGCAGCTTACAAACAAGATTGTTTTTTGAGTATTTGTATATATTCCCCCGCAGTTAGAACTGTATGACGTGACTAGTGTGAGAGAGGGATCTCTCCCTCAAACATTCAGAATGTTGAAAATGTGATTTAAAACAGCGATTGAGAGCTAACTGGATGAGTGGATGTGGATTGGCATAGGTCCAAAACACATTCTTTCTTTCCCTTTGCAATTTTTATTTTAAATTTTGATTTCGGAACTACTTCAAAATATGGAAAATAAAATCATAAAAATAGTGACTACGTACCTAACAAATGTTGACACTTATTATTGGCTTGAACTTTTTGTTTAAAAAAGAAACATTACTTAAGTGCATCTATAGTACAGCCCCATTCCAGGCATAACTTTCTTCGAAAGTTCATCTGTTTCTGCTCTGGATATGTTTTTATACTTCTTACTATACATGTATGTATATGTGACAGTATATGGTATATTCTGAGGCAGGTTTTTTTGGTACATAAATGGTATATTGTTTCTCCTCTTTCAAATAGCTTTTTATAGTCAGCAGTATATTTTGAGATGAATCCATATTGAATCTTAGAAATTTAACTCGTTAGTTTTAACTTTTCTGTATTTCAGTGTTAGAATTTATTATACCATTTTATCCATTTTTTTTTGGGTGGACATGTAGGTTGTTAGCAATTAACAATGTTGTGTTGAATTTTCTTAGATGTGTCCCATTGTGCATGTCTGACACGTATTTTTTTGCCAGGTATACACATAGGAATTTAATGACTGAATCTGGGCAGTCTCTGGTCTTTTAGTGGGGAAATTTAATCTGTTTTAATATAGCATAATAACTGTTATTTTGGAATAATTTATATCACCTTTTTGTGTGTGTATATGTTTTCTTTGCCCTTTTCCCCCTCCTTT